CCGCAGGCGGGCGCCGTGTCTGCCCTCTTCTCTCCCGCCTGCTCGCAGGCGCAGGTGTTGCAGGTGTTGTCGTGCGGGCGGTAGCTGGTCGGTGGCTGGAGCGCGGGAGCTCCGCACGGTGCCCATCTGCACAGTCTGGAATACACGTTCGGGGCGCCAGGTGCCAACGCTTCACCCCTGAGGCTTTGCGTAAGCGCTGCAGCAGGTTCTAAGGCCCAGTGTCTTCTCCTTTCTCGCCAAGGGCCGCGGCAATCCGGCGGCTTCTCGCTGGCGCGATATTGTGACCAACAGCGAAGCTCACCAGGCTAATTTTAGAGCCGTCGCCCCCTTTCATGCTCCAGTCTGGGGTCACGCCCGGGGTTCCCTGCCTTGTGTCTTCGTCTCCTTCATCTCTCGCACAGTCCCTCTTCCTTTTGAACAAGGTGTCTTTCATGTGGACGTGTTTGAAGCCTGCAGCTGGCCGGTTTTTGTAGCATGCCCTGGGGCCCTCTGGAGGGGTCCGCGTTGCGCCTTTTCAGCGGCTCCTGCAGTCAGTTCCCTGGCAGCGAGGTCAGCCCCCTCTTCTGGGGGGGCTGTGTCTGCCCGGTTCCTTTGCAATTAAGGGTGTTTTCTTTTTCAAATCTCTTTGCAATTAATAACTATTCCATGGAGAGATCCTGTCATCTAGCGATTTCATGTCCACTGATGATGTTTGCCTGAATCCTAATTTCTCCTGCTGGTGGCAAAATGGTGTTTGCTTCTGACTCTTTCCGGCTATGTGCAAACCATTTAAAGAAGACATGACTTTTGAGTCTCATTCATCCTCTAAAACTACCCCCACGTGGGTTCACATTTTTCCAGCGTTCAGTGTGTTGTATGCCGTTGCTGTTACTACTGTAGTCCGCGCTGATGTTCAAACCGGCCCCTGTCGGCCGCTTAGACCCCCTCAGACTAGTTCCTGGGTCCTTTCTGCCGCGCCCCTATCTTTTTTGGGGAGCAGTTCCTTACTGTGTGGCCTGGACGGACTTTCCCTGCCCCAGACTGCGGCTTCAAGTGGGCGCTTTTCTCTTCTAAGTAATGAACACTTTGCGTGGGGGGGGATGATATCAGAGGCCGAAGTCTGGGGGCTGGGTGTGCGCGTGGTGGCCGAGGGCAGCTGCTGCTGTGACGCTTGGGACACATACCTGAGCCACGACACGTATTTGCAAAGCAGCAGTCACCGACCCTGAAGGACCTAGCCCCGTTTCCAGACATGGACTCTGGTTCCCCCAGATCTCAGCCCGTTCACACTCTGGCCCAGTCCCACAGCGCACACAGGTCAGCGGCTGAACTGTTAGGCCTGGGCCACTCCCAGCCACTAAATTCACGAGTGCGCTTCAAGACTGCTGCGCAGGTCTCTCCTGTAGGCAGGTCTCCAGCAGAGCGCTCCGCTCAGAGGCGCGGGGTCATCTCGCCCTCACTGATGCAGAGTTAGGCCCTTTGCTTTGGTTTCCATTTCATGTTTGTCTCCCCCACCTGCGGGCTTTGTTCTTTTGAACACGGAAGCCATTAGCTTCATTCTGAAGCCATTAGCATCGTCCTGGAGGCCCAGACCACACAGAGACGCGGACCATGGGGGCCGCTGGGTCCACCCGCAGGTCATCGGCGTCATTAGTTTGTCCCGCCCGTGCCTGTTCTTGCAGAAACAGCAGGTGCACTCGTGTTCTGGTGTGTTCTTTGTGGCCCAAGACGTAGCATTCCTGCCCCACTTGCGCATACTCCCTTATTTCTTGGCGAGATCGTTTGGAGCGATCACCAAACGCCACATCAGCTCACCAGAACTGTTCCTCGTTCGTTCTCACTGCACAGAGGTGCAGTTCTCTGCTAAGGGAGGTTTTACAGCCTGAGCTGCTATTCCTCTGGTGAAGGCATTTAGGTCACTTCTGAAATTTCTCAATTACAAGCGCTGCTGCCATGAATCAGCCCTGCCTCTGTGCCCCACGGTGCAGGGTGGGCCGCTCCAGGGTCTGCTCCTCGGAGCTTGGCATGCTGGCATGAAGGACACATACGTCTGCGGTTTTATCAGATCTGACCAGACTCCCCACCATTTTGCCTCTCCACCAGCAACAGATAAGTGTGCCCCTCCCCCAGCCTCTAGAAGAGTATGTTGTGGAGTGAAGGATGAGAAATGTTTTTTAAAAGATTTATTTTGCTTATGCCTACACGAGCTGGGGTGCAGGGCAGAGATGGGGGGAGCAGAACAGGCGATCCACCGAAACCCACTGCGGAGGGAGCAGCGGGGAGACAGGGGAGGTCTGCTGTGCTCTGTGCGTTGCTCCCTGGCGGGGATGGAACTCGGCTGCAGGGGCTGAGGCAACTTCAGAGTGCTGAGACTCAACCCTGCGCCACCAGCGAGGCCCTGGGTGAGAAATGTTGCTGCCTCCCAGTTTGCATTTCTCTTCCTTGAGTGAAGCAGCACTTTTCTTTCTTTCTTTTTTTAAATAAGGGAGTCTCTATGGAAGGTCTTTCTAAGGAGATGACTGAAGCCACAGCAGAAACATGGAGAAATGGGGGAAGAGCTTCCCAATGGAGGAATAGCAAGAGCAGAGCCCTGAGGCCACCCTGAGCTCAGTGTTCCAGAAGGCCTGGAAGGCCCTATGATCTGAGTGGAGGGAGCAGGAGAAATGTGCTGGCCGTGAGGCTGGCAGACACCAGAGCAGGCGGGCATCATCATCCAGGGACAGGGAGGATTTTCTGCAAGAGGCCTGAGAATAAGGGCTGTTAGTTCCCCTTGCCACACCTGTCCCCGCTCTGTGAAACTCTTCAGCACTGACACTGCGGACAGGCACACAAACGGGCCCCTCGGGTTCTCACAGAGATTAGCTGGGAGAGTTTCACACTCTGAAACTCCTCCACTTGCACGCCGAGGTACTGTGGTCTGCGCAACATCAAGCTCACGCAGCTCAGCAGGCCTCGGCATGCTCGTGACCTGTGCAGGCCCTTCCTCACCTACCCTCACGTTTTTATCACCCTCCCCAAGAGAAGCCTCATGCTCTGTAACAGCCAGCCCTGATCCGCCACCGCCTCGCCCCATACCTTGGCGGACTCCTCTCTGCTCTCTGGATTTGCCTGCTTGGGCCACTGTGCAGAACAGAACTGTACAGAGCGCGTGGTCTCCGGCGTCTGGCTCCTCACTCGGCTTGTTTTCTAGGTGACGCCCATGGTCACATCCAACAAGACCCCATCGTTTTTTTGGGCTAGATAATATTCCATCTGGTGGCTCTTCCATGTTCCGCTTGCCCGTTCCGTTGGTAGACAGCTGGGTCTTTGCCACTTTCAGTTCTGCGAAGACAGACGGGCTCTCACCTCTGTGAGCATAGGCCAGCTCTCCTGGGCAGGTGCTAGGAGAAGCGCTGGTCACATGGCAATTCTGTCTTTAACACCTGAGGAAGTGCCAAATGGAATTCACTTAGTGGGCCACAAAGTAGCCTCCTTCTCTCTTTTTTTTTTGTGTGTGTGTTTTTCTTCCAACCATTGAATTACCTTGAAGTCAGTCGCAGCCAGTGGGCTCCCCGCAAACAGCAGATGGAGTGGCTTGAAGCCACAGGCTGTCATTGCGACCCCTGTTGTAGGCAGGGGAAGGAGCTGAGGCGCCGGTGTGATGAGAAACACCTTTCTCCACAGGGATGCAGGATGCTGGTAAGGGGCAGTTGGGCTCTCAAATACTGGGGATGTGTTGTCTAAGCCCAGGCATGGACCTGTTTACAGGGAGCTTCCTCTCAAGGAAGAGTGGTTCATTTCAAAATCCTGATGGCATTTTGGTGATTTTAAACTTCTTTGATGAGGACTGTCTCAAGGCTTAGTGGCTTGGATAAACCACCACTGGTTGTGAAAATAAACCAGCGAAACTCCAAGCCTGGCACGCACAGGAGAGGTCACCCACCACGCCCACCAGCTTGCCCCGCTCCGTTTGGTAGGTCCGCACAGTCACATAGACATCTTCTCTTTCCTTGGCTGTCGAGCCCGGGATCCAGGGAAAGTGCTTAGTGCTTTACGACGCGTGCCTTTCCTGGCACTTACATTCTAGAGTGAATATGAAGTCAAACAATCACAACTTTCAGAAATAGAAACTTTGAGGGCAGTTTTCTTGGAAATTAAAATGAAGCTGATGATCTGAAAAAAAAAAAAAAAATCTCAAACCAGACCTCTCCGCTCCAGTTCTCCTGGTCCCTTGAGTTTCTCGTCTGTATGTGATATAAAGTGGCGCCCGCCTGAAGGATCGCTGTGCGGTTCGGATGCCTTAACCCTGGGCAGCACCGGCCGCGTGCCCGCCCGGTGCAGAGCAAGGCCTGAGTGTGGCTGGCGTCATTTTGCTGCTGCTTGCGGGGCTGTCCTTGTGCCGCCCAGTGAGCCTCAGCTCAGGCCTTGTCCTCCGCCCTCCCGCCCTCCAGCCGCTCCTAACCAACCGGCCCTCAGAGGATCTTGTAGCAGCCTAACTGTCTTGTCCCTGCTCTGTACCTCCCTGGCCCCCTTGTGCCCTTGGGTTGATTAGAGCCAACCTGGTCCCCAGCCCGGCTGTGCCCGGGCACTTGCTCCGGCCCACTGCTCCGTTCTGCGGTTCATGTCTCAGCTGGGTGGGTGGATCAGCTCACTCCTCCTCCCCGAGTGCACCTTCCCTGGGTCGGAGAGGTTCTCTGGGGCCCTCCTGCCCCACCCCGGGCAGGTTTGGTGTCTGGTCTGGACCCCTAGAGCTCCCTGCTGATCTCTGCCATGTTTGCCGCAGGAGACCGTGCCCAGATCTGCCGCCCCATGCACTGGGAGCGCCTGGGAAGCAGACTGGGGAGGGAGGAAGGAGGGTGCTGGTCCATCTTGGGGGTCTGTGCACCCATCCAAGGCCCAGCACACAGGGGTGCCCATGGATGGGAGGCCATCCAGGGCAGCGGGAGGAGAGGGGCAGGATGGGGTGAGATGGAGGGTGTGGGGTGGGCCGAGGGGTGCTCTGCAGTTTGCTGATGGACCCAAGGCATCCCTCTGCTCCCCAGGCCTCTCCTTGGTGGTGGGCTTGGTCCTGTACATCTCCAGCATCAACGACGAGGTCATGAACAGGCCCAGCAGCTCTGAGCAGTACTTCCACTACCGCTATGGGTGGTCTTTCGCCTTCGCTGCTTCCTCCTTCCTACTCAAAGAGGTGATGTCTGTGGGTCCCAAATTCAATTTTGAATGGGGAGGTCGGGGCGGGGGGGCGGTCTGATTACTGGGTCACAGAGGAAAAGGATGTTAGGAGTGTAGACTTTAGATTCAGGCAGAAGAGGAAGCTGGAGGTCTAACCCCTAGGTCCTGGAGGAAAGGCTGGTATCTTAGGGGAGGAGAGGGGTGGGGTGTGATCCCTGGGTTCCGGGGAAGGAGGAAGCCGAGCCTGGATTCTTGGGCATCATGAGAGGAGGTCAGGACTCCGGGCTTTGGCTAAGAGGTGGCCCGCGATGTCCTCGGGAACACTGACCCTGCCGTGTGCCCTAGGGGGCTGGTGTGATGTCGGTGTACCTGTTCACCAAGCGCTACGCGGAGGAGGAGATGTACCGTCCACACCCGGCCTTCTACCGCCCGCGTCTCAGCGACTGCTCCGACTACTCCGGCCAGTTTCTGCAGCCAGAGGCCTGGCGCCGCGGCCGCAGCCCCTCTGACATCTCCAGCGACGTGTCCATCCAGATGACGCAGAACTACCCTCCCGCCATCAAGTACCCCGACCACCTGCACATCTCCACCTCGCCCTGCTGAGCCCCCGACTCTCCGGGCTTCCCCCGCCCCCCGGGGCTCCCGGCCACGCCGCCCCGCCCCGCTCGCTGGGACTCCGGGCCCCACCGGAGAAGGCCCCGCCCCAGCCCCGCCCACGCTCCCAGGCGACTCCGCCCCTCTCCAGCTGCTCTGGCCCGGCCCAGCCCCGGGCCCCCCAAGCTTCGGCCACTCGGCGGGGGTGCTGCGCTGGAGAGCAGGTTCGGGCAGGCGCCGGGAATGCCAAGCAGCCTCTTCTCCCCTCAGCCCAGTGACTTCCCTTCCCGGCCAGTCTCTGCTCTCAGGGGTCCTCTGGTGGAGTGGGGGTGGTGTGTGTTTGCTCTTCCCGCCAGGGCTTGCAGGCCCAGGGAATGTGGTTGCAGGCCCAGGGTATGTGGTTCACCTGGTCCCTGTTTTTCCGTCTCTGTCTCTATCTCTCGCTGTCTCTGTCTCTCTCACGCGCGCGCGCGCGCGCGCACACACACACACGCACGCACACCCCTCTGCTCCCCTGGGGGAGTCCGTCCTCTCTCACTGACTGGGCTTTTCTCAGCCTTCCGAGGGTTGCCTGCCTTTGGGGGCGGCTGCCTAAGCGCTTCTCAGCCATCCTTGGCTTTTCTTCCTCCTCCCCTTTCCTCCCTTCCTCGATCCCATTTGCTCATCCAAAGCCCCTAGGTGCGTCGGCCCCACACACCAAATGACCTACCGGGTTGGGAGCCCTAGGGTGGGAATTCTTTCCTGCCATCTCCACACCTGTGCCCGCCTCTCCCCCCTCGAGGCCCCGTTGGGGGAGGGAGAAGCAGTAGCGGGGGTCGACACCCCCCAAACCTTTAAGTCTTCCATTTTCTGGCACTCCCCTTCATTGAAATCCCCTTTCCTATCCCAGACCCCCAACTCTGGCCTCTTTCAAGGGTCCGTTCGCCCCCTAGGACAGATTTGGGGGGGTCACCAGAAACTCGCTCGCCCCCCCTTTATTAAGGGAGGAGGGGCGGGATAGCACAGTGTTATACACGGAACCAGAATGGCCCCCGGGGTGGGGGGAGGGGGGCAGGGGAGGAGAGGGGGCTTTTAGTTTGCATCTTAGGGGGGAGGGGGGAGGGGGAGCGCACCAGTTAACCTGTCTTTATGCAGCGATTTTTAATGAGGCTGGGGGGAGGGGGGCTTGAGGGCGGGGAAGGGTGGGGGGGGGGGGGCCTGGCTCTGTTATTTACCGTGTATCATATGTAAATACAGACAGAAACTTCAATAAACTTTATTTCAAACAGTCTCTGCCTGCGCAGGGGGAGGGTATTGAAGGGGGGGGGCTTGGTCCTCATTTCTCTACTCCTAGGTTGGGGTCCACAGTGTCTCAGCATAAGTTTGGATCAGTCTTTGTGAAACTGCTGGATCATCGTAATTATTCACAGCAGCACTTTCTAGTTCAGTCCGTGTAAGCACGGAGGACAGCAATGACACCCACCAGGGATAAATAAAAATCAACTCGTGGTATCGCCACACTTCCTTCTACTTTCACTGCTCCACTTAACATTCTCCTCCAGCCTGCTCATTGCATTAATTGGACTCATTTTGTAGATCGGTCCCTGGAGGTGAAATGACTCACCCAGGGTCACACAGGTAGAAATTGGCAGGCCCTGAGCTCTGGAATTGGGTTCAGCTGGTTCCAAAATAGGACTTTCCTTTGTGCCGCCCCAGGGGGCAGTGAATTTCCCCAAAGCCTGACTCCATGGCTCTGTTGAGAACCATCTGCCATTCATTGCTGACCTACTGTGAGCCTGGCTCTTCCGGCCCTCCCCGGAAGCCCTGTCTGTGAGAAGCACACACACCTCACACGTTGCAGGCCGGGGGATGGAGGGTCAGCGTGGGTAGTGACTCTGGCCTAACCTGCCACCCACTGAGGGTTTGAAAACAGCCTCAATGCTTTGTGTCGCAAAGGGAACCAACCGAACGTTCGCATGTCAGTTCTCTTTCTTGTCTAGATTCTGCCTCTTCAGAGGAAATGCTACAGTCTCACGCCCAGCAGAGAAGGACCCCGCCACACTTACCCAACTGCCGTTGGCGGTCACTCTGTGCGCCAGCCAGCTTTGCATTCATCCATTCTTCGGATGCTTCCAACAGTCCGGGAGCTAAGGGTTCCAACAGCCCCATTTGATAGGTCAAGAAACAGACTGGCAAGGTAAGATCACCCCACCCAGAGGGAAGGAGCATTCACACGGCGGCCTGGTTCGCCCCAGAGCCTACTCACTGACTGGCTAGATTGTCCTGTTACACCTCTGATGCAAACGCATGTGACCTTGAGCTGGTCCCTTAATCTCTGGGCCTTCAACATTCTCTGTAAAGAAAAACAAAACTAACTGAAGAGGCTGGGCGGGAAGGACTCTGAATCTGTCTGGAACAGGGAGAATTAGTGGGGGTGCATTGGCAGGGAAGAATTCAAATTCAGCAGGATCAGACTCCCTGAGGGAAATATTCTGAATCATTTTTTGATGATTTCAGGAATTTCTGGAGGCCAAGGTTGAGATTTGGGATGATAAATCTGTTCCAGCCTTCCCAGACAGACTAATGGATGAGAATGTAATCTCAACCTAGTGGCTACTGGTGGCCTGAGTTGATAAGGATTTTGAATACCCCTGGATGGAAATCATGCCCTCAGGGATTGGTGCTGTGTGTGTCATCTGCAGGATGGGCCATTAAGGTACAGATTCTGGAGAGTTGTTGACTTTGTCCAGAACACAGCAGCCTCAAGTCCTAAAGTTTATGTTCTCTCTCTCTTTTTTTTTAAATCAAGCCAGGTTTTTCTGCTTACTACTTTATCTTTAATGTTTTGAAAATGGAGTGGGATTCCGTTTGGTAAAGAGTTGTTTTCTTGTTGCCGTTTTCCCAAGAATACAGTGAATGTCAGTCCTACTTCTGAGCAAATCCAGAAATCGCCCCTCTGCCTGATTACTATCGTCTTTTACTGTATGCTTACAAGAATGTTACACGCGTTTATGCGATCACACACCCATGTGTTTAAATCCACCACGCATAGAGCATATGCTTGCGTTTGACATTTGTCATCAGACATTTTCATTGAGCATCCATCATACATACTATTCCTGCAGCTCTGTACCTTCCAATTTCACGTGACAGTGTTTTACGGCGACCATTTAGAATGTGTTATATAACTCTACCTTATTATTTGTCAAGGTTGCTTAATAGCAGAGTTTGCGTCAGTTAACTGCATAATTTATTGAGTGTTTCCTACATGCCAGCCACTTTATATTCAAGGATGCCTTGCTTTTATCGTCAATGAGAGCCTGAGGTAGTGAGAGGTTAGTTAACTCTTTCTCCTGGTCACACAGCTAGAAAGTGGGCAAGCCAAGATTTAAGCCCTGCCAGTCTCCTGCGCCTACCCTGCTTAGCCTCTGAGCGCCTCCATGTCTGTTAAAGTCGCTGAGTTCCAGCCCCTGCTCTCTGTCATCTTCGCAGCTTCATCTTGTCATGTAGCCTACAGAGCAATACTACTCCTTCCTTGTTGTCAAAGATTGCCCCCCAGTCCCTGAGGCATTCCTGAGGCTCACGGAAGGGGCCCACAAAGTAAAACCATTTCTATAGTGATACTCAGTTAGTATTCGCCATTTTCGCTCTTCATCTCATGAATAGAGTCTGCGTCTTTGGAGGTTTCGTGAGAGTGACAACGCAGTAGATGGGCTACGGAAGGAAATCTTTCTTCTGTCAGGCCCAACACTGAATAGGCTTTCAAAAACACCTAACAATACCACTATGTATTTTTTGTTTGGGAAAAAATAGCTGTTTTCTACTAAAATAAGTTGATTATATAAACATGCAGTGGATGTATTGTTATTTGCTTCAACAAAGGCATATTTTGAAATCATCTGTTGGAATTTTGAATATGCTCAGTATCGATAGGTGTACTTGGCTCATGTAAACAAGCTTTTTGGAGGTCTCTACCGTTGTCAGTTGCATAGAGGGGCTCGGAGACCCCAAGTGTTAAGCTGGGCTGTGTGTCACGGAGGCGATCAACGATGACTTCGTTTGGGTCAAAGGCTGTGTCATGGTTCCTTTAAACAGGTGCTTTTTTCATCATAAGCTGATACTTATTTTACGTGGAATACCTGGTCATGATTTTCACATGGAATCAAGTGGACAAGGGTGGAAATTGAAAGGAAATTTTCTTCTCTTCTCTCTTCTCAATCCCATTCTTATTTCCCTCCGATTATTATCAGTTTCTTCTTTCAGACCAGGTATGGTTTTGCCCCAGGAGACAGCAGGCAGTGTCTGGGGAGGGGCACCCAGTGGGTGCAGGCTGGGATACTGCTCAAGCTCTGTAATACACAGGACAACCCCATGCCACAGCCATGGCTGCGCCAGGATGTGTCTGCTGAGGTGGAGGAAACCTGCTTCGACTGTTTTCTTTGTACTTATACATGCTGCCTTGCTTGTTTGGGCTTTATTGTTATTATGATTTTATGAGATTTTGCTAAATCAAGTTTTTTTTTTTTATTCATACAGAACTGGGGTACAGGCTGGAGATGCGGAGGGTGAGAGGATTCACCAGGGACAGAGTGGGGAGCAGAACATGCAGGTGGATGAAGTCCACTGCTGAGGGGAGCAGCCTGCGGGTCAGGAGAGGTCTGCCGCGCCATGTGGTCACCTCTGGGGCAGGCGGGGATCGAACTCATGCGGAAGTGGCTTTAGCTTCTCAGTGCTGTGCTTTAACCCGCCGCGCCACCAGGGAGGGCCCGCTAAATCAAGTTTTAAGACTCTTGTAAGGGACCAGGGAGCCCTCTGAGGATCGCATGAAAGCTCTGCCCCCAAGACTGGAAAAGAACACCCACATTCACAAAATTTTGTACATAATAGAGCGGCCTTGACAACTCACCTCCCTCCCCACCCCCAACAAGCTGGGCCAGAATCCACCGGAGGTTGCTGTGGGAGTTTGAATAGCTGTCCTAGGACATCCAATCCAGAGGGCAACAAACCGGCACCCCTCCCCCTCTACAGGAGAGGATGAAGGTGGGCGAGAACAAGGGCCCTCAGGAAGGCAAGGAAAACGAGGATTGGAACTCAGGCCACCTGACTCCCCAGCACTGGAATATTTCCACTTCACCCTGAATGAGGACGATTTAGAAACGCTGATCTTGTCTTCCTGGTACAGCGGGAAAACACGCCGCCACCACTCTGTTCCTCTTGAGAAAACACAAAGGCCCCAGCTGTTGTTGATGAGCAACACTCAAGCACCTGGGAGAGGCCCATTCAGGAAAGGGGGGGTTGGGCAGGGACAAGAGGTTGTAATGGGTGTTGGGGGCCACAAGGCGCCTGGAATGTGCTTCCACTCCCATGAGCCTTGCGTTCACTCCTTCATCTATCCATTGATCATCACCCACCCCACACCCCACACCACCCCGCAGCCAAGGGTTTCCTGTCTCGGGAGCTGGGTTCTGAGGACATTGAAATGAATC